TTTATATATTAATAGTAGATGTGATGTGGTAGTAATGGTGCTAGGTGTTGGTGGTAATGATAATAGTAGTTAATAGTTATTGTAAAGTGGTAGAAGTGATTACTAATGATGGGGCAATGATAATAACGATGACGATAAATGTAATTATTGTGATGGTAGCTTGAATTAAATTGTGATTGTTGGTGGTTTGTCTTTTTCTTTTTCTTTTTTTATCCGTTTGGTATGAATTCGGATAATAAGAACTTTTTTCTCATACCTACATTTGGAGATTATCTCTGATTTTTTGTTTAGTAAATTCTTTTGCGTTGTGTGTGATATTATTGCTACTTTTTCGTGTAGGCAAAGTAGGCATTTTTTGTAATGTTGCTGTAGGCAGGAGCTTTTTTCAATACTTCCCAACTTATTGTTAGTGTGATATTTCTGTCTTTTTGCTGATATATGTATGTGGATATATATATATATATATATATATATATATATATATATATATATATATATATATATATCAGATCATATAAGTTCTGTCGAATTTTAACTTTTTGTTAAAATGAACGAAATTTAAAAGTATTTTATAATGTCTAATGGAGCTGAACATTATTTTTATGTTTAGATGCATTTAAACTGATCAAATTTTATTTCAGAGAACAATAAAATTAAATTTTGTTTGATTAAAACCCTGCTAACATGGAAGTACCCAAGAATCATTTGAGGCACATAATGCTTTATGAGTTCAAGAAAGGAAACTCAGCAGCCAAAGCAACTAGAAACATTCACTCAGTTTATGAAGAGGAATGTGTGAATGAAAGAACTTGCAGAAGATGGTTTGCAAAATTCAGAGGTGGAGATTTCACCCTTGAAGATGAAGATCGAACCGGACGTCTAGTTTGATGAAAAGCTTCTTGAAGCAGCCCTTGAAGAAAATCCTGCATTATCAGTTGAGGAATTGGCAGTGGCTCTCAGTTCAAACCATACAACTGTGTGACGTTCTAACCTTTTGCTGATTCGGATTGGAATCTGGTTAGATTCGGTATCAGCCCTGTCGTTCCCAGCTCGCCTCCAATGTCTGGTTACCGAAGTAACTGCTTTGATTTCTAGTCTAACCTACGCACGTTGTGATTTGATCTTAGGTAGACGAAATCAATCAGTCGCCTGGCCGTAATGCAAGTCGGGTCCGAACAAGGGCAATACCGCACAAGTATACGTAAAAGAAAATAAAATAATAACTCGAAAAGTTCAAATGTGTTAAAAAGGATAACAATATTTTATATCTGGTTGCGAAATACAGGACTGCATCTTTCTCCTAAACCGCTATATGGATTCGTGATACTTTATGTTTGTTAGGCGAGTCTTAACATCTTAAGTTGTTTGTTCTTTAAGAAACTGGTTCTTGGTGTGTCTTCAGGCGATATTCGTAAAACTTGTTTTGGCGGTGTGAGTCTAAGTCGTTCTTCAAAAATAAATTGTTCTTGTTTAGAAGTTGAGGTCGTGATTTGCGTGGAATCTTTCAGTCAGGTTCCTGCGAGGCGGGCCCAACTCAATCCTACTCAGCTGCGAACTGCGAACTTAACTCGAACTGCCAACTCAACTGGAACTCTGCTTATATGGACGCTGACCAAAACCGGGGTGGGCTTGTCGGGGTTTGAGGTTCCTTGATAATTCTAAATCCACAATCCACTTCTTTGTTTTCGGTCAGGAAAATTTATTATTTTCCAGTTTTGGAAGTCTTTCGTCCTCCTACATTCCTCTGTTCTCATATTGGTATCTCACCATACCCTCAGAGGGTGTCAACGGGTTTCCCCCTCTCTCACAGTGGCATCTCATACCGGTCCCTTCAGGGGGTGTCAACAGGCCTCCCCACCTACTTCACATGATTACCTTCGCCTAACGCTCACGCCAACATTCAGAGAATGGGCGCCCAGCAGTGTGGGTGTGGCTAGACTAGCCCCAGTTTAAAAAATCTTGCTCAAAGAAAAAAAAAATATCTTCCTTTTTTTCTTCTTTTTCTTTTCTCGACAACAAGTCCTTAGACTCTTATCTTAACCGAATTTCATATGGAATTCGTCACTCGGAACCTTCGCCAAACAAGTGGGTGGTCACTTGGACGTATCGCACCTTGGTGCCAATTATTCTTTCTGATAAAATAATTTTGCTATCATAGCCAGCCCTGACAATAAACAGGTGTTTTTCCCAAATGACATGGAGGTGGTTCAACGGACATTTCGGTTTCGGTCAAGCTTGACCTAATTAATTTTTATCTCCCAGCACTCTGCTGGAGGTCGCTTGTCCAACTTGAAATTTTTACCATTGCCATTGGCAGATTGGATATGTCGTAAATTAAATTAAATCCGACACATCCGTGACCTTATTTTCCTCGCTAATGAGAATAAAACCTTTAGCATTTTTCGTTGTTAAAAAGAATAACATCGCTTAGTGTCCTTTTCGTGATGGCTTCTTATTACCTAAATTTAATTCTCGCCTTTCTTTTTTATCTTCTTTCTTTCCAGCAACCTAAATAGTGTCACAACTGTTCATCGTCATCTTCAAAAACTTGGGTGCCTCATAAATTGTCTGAAAACAACCTCAAATCCCGAGTTGACATCTGCTCTTCTCTCCATTCTCGCCAACTTGTTTCACCTTTTTTGGATAGACTTGTGACTGGCGACAAAAAATGGAACTTTTATCGAAATGTTAAGCGTCGTAGACAGTGGCTTGGTAAAGGGGAAGGACCTCAGCCACAGCCGAGAAGGGAACTTCATGGGCAAAAGGTTCTCCTTTCAATCTGGTGGGATCACCAAGGAATAATCCACTTTGAATTCTTACCACCTAATGCAACAATTAATGCTCAAATATACTGTCAGCAATTAGAGCGTTTGAACCCAAGCTTTGAGGGAAAAAGACCTGCTCTAGTGAATCGAAAAGGGGTAATGTTTCATCAGGACAATGCACGACCCCACACAGCAAGAATTACGTCACAAAAGATCGAAGAACTTGGTTGGGAGAAAATCCCTCATCCACCTTATTCTCCCGATCTTGCTCCTTCAGACTACCATTTGTTTCGTAGCCTACAGAATCATTTAGAAGAAACAGCTTTTGTAACACAGGAAGCGGTTAAAACTGACATATGTGAGTTCTACGAATCAAATCCAAAATAATTTTACAGTAATGGAATTAATAAGCTTGTTAATAGATGGAAGGAAGTCATAGATAATCAGGGAAAATACATTGTTGATTGAATCTGTAATTAAATCTAACATTTGGTCACTTGATTTCTTTATTCAAAATTCGGACACAACTTATGGGATGACCTGATATAATTATTTATTCGAAAATTATTTATATCTATATCTATATATAGTTAGGCAAAAAAATGTTTGTTAATCCGAATGGGTAATCCCAAGGAGGATGTAATCTAGAGAGCTCAATGTAACACAGAGAGAATAGCAGTTACTTGGGATTATCCAGACGGATTACCAAACATTTCCTTACCAAGTACTCCTTGGAATTATCCATACGGATTGCCAAATATTTTTTTAGCCACACTTAATTTAGTCTCTTTTTATTTATTTTAACTATCTGGACCTCTTCAAGTAATTTTAAGTATAAATGAATAGAAATTTTAAATAACATCTTACTCACTCATGTCTTCTCTCCCCCCCCTCACTTCGTTAATTTACATATGCTTAATACGGGCCGTCAAAAACGTGTAAATTTCTTTTCATTTTTTGTTTCAACCTTTGGAAGTAAAGTCTGATGATCCGCAGTCCTTTAAAAGGGCTGTGGTGAAATATTTTATTACATGGCACCTTAAAGTGGTCTGTTTTTATTTAAATTATTTGCTCTGGATTTACATTGAGCTCTCTGGATTTTATCCTCCTTGGGTTTACCCATACGGATTACCGAGCTTTTCATAAATTAATTGACTATATATATATATATATATATAGATAGATAGATAGATAGATAGATATAGACAAAAACCTAAACTACTCTCTATTAATCACCATAGAGATCCTTCCCTGCCCCCCCCCATTAGAATGTCTGATAGTCAACTTCTTGAGAGCATCTCCCTGCGTCTGCTCGGTCTCACGCTGACTGCTGACCTGAGATGGAACAAATACATTGAGTCAATTGCTTCTTCCACCGCGATGAAAGTTGGCTCTCTGTGCCGCGCCAGGAAATTTTTCTCCCCTGAATCGATACTTCAAATATACAAAACAACCATTCGCCCTTGCATGGAGTATTTCTGCCATATATGGTCTGGGGCACCTTCTGTTTACCTCGGAGTTCTTGACAAGATCCAGAGACGGATATGTAATCTAATTGGCCCTGATCTGGCGTCTCGTCTACAGTCACTCTCTCACAGACGCGCCGTCGCCTCTCTCTGTCTTTTCTACAAATACTTTCATGGTAATTGCTCCGATGAGCTGCTTTCACTGGTTCCCAGACTCCATGAATTCAAGCGCCCTACGAGGCTGGCATCCCGCTCCCACCCTTACATTGTAGAAACTTTTAAATGTAGCCGTCTCTTCTACTCCAATAGCTTCATACCTCGCACCTCTCGCATGTGGAACACCCTTCCCAATTACTGTTTCCCTGAGAGCTATAATCTCCAACTATTCAAATGTAATGTCAATCGACATCTCCAGTTACCTTGATCTACCCACTATCCCTCTCCTCATTCTTTCTTCTATCAGTCCTATCTGCACATGCTCCAAATCTTCTGCAACCCCCTGCATCCTAGTGGCTTCACTGTCGCCTCTAAGTGTTGACTTCTATGTTCACTTTTATATTTACATAAGCTCTATCTCTGATATTGAGCACTTTATCCCATAAATATAGCCCATCTTAAATCTTAAATCTTATTTCTTCATATATATATATATATATATATATATTGAAAACTTAAAATTAACATTATTTCCAACTCTAAATACAGGAAACATTTTCTAAATCGAGGAAGCTTCGTCTTAGTCTTCTTTATGGGGAGAGGCCACAAGTAATTAAGAAAACGGAGAAACGAATGGATACATAAATAAAAACAGATTTAGCGACTCGCGTGTCAGACGAGAGTTAGTTGTGCGCAAGATTGAAAAATCGTTTCGACGTGTAATAATGAGAAGCGACATGCCTGAGGAGTAGAACGTCATCGGAGAGTAACCAATTAGAAAGCAATATTTGTTGCGCATATAGCTGGGCGGAGAAAAAGCGCGGGAAAAAATGAGATAGCTAATCTTGAAAGAGAGAATAGATTCTTCAGATGACGCCGTATTTATGCAACTTATCAACGATATTTTTCTTTGGTGCAGTTTTAGAATAAGCAACGAGGACACTAACACCAGAAAGAGTTAGTTGAAATTTCACATAATGAGGAAAGACGGCTTGGAAAATCTGATACTCACAGGACAGACTGAAGGCAAGATAAACCTAGAAAACGAACACATAGCCTACCTAGCGAGCTTGCGTACATAGACGACAGAATAGGGTTTAGGAGAGATAACAAAAAGACAAAAATTACTAAGTGCTAAAAGGTAAGGAAATTGTGGAGAGCCATGGTCGCTAATGTTCTAATAGAAAATGGTATTCCGATGATGAAAAAAGCTTGTGTAAATGAATGGCAGAGTAGGGTTTATGGGATGTAGCAAAAAGACTAAATTTACTAAGAGCTACAAAGCTAAGGAAATTGTGGAGAGCCATTACCGCCAATGTCTGAATGGACACTGTATATAGATGAAGAAGAACGAGCTTGTGTAAATGGATGGGAGAATAAGTTTTAGGAGAGATAACAAAAAAATAAAATGTCCTAAGAGCTACAAAACTATGGAAATTGTGGAGAGCCATGATCGTCAATATCTTGAAGGGACCCGGTATATAAAAGATGAAAAACAACGGGCTTTTGTAAATGGATGTTAGAATAGTCTTTAGGGGATATAGCAAAAAGACTAAATTTACTAAGAGCTACAAGTCAAAGGAAATTGTGGAGGGTCATGATCGCCTATGAAGGGACACGGTATATAAAAGATGAAAAAGAATGAGATTTTGTAAATAGAATAGGGTTTATAAGAGATAACAAAGAGACAAAAAAATTATTTAGGAGAGAAAATTTTGTCAAGCTATCATCGCAAAAACTGCAGTCTGTAATATATATATATATATATATATATATGTGTGTGTGTGTGTGTGTGTGTGTGAGTGTGTGTGTGTGTGTGTGTGCGTGTGTAATATCACTTGATGATTAGTAGAGATAGTTCCAAAGAGAGTTCAATGTAAGAACAGAGCAATAAAATAGTGAATACGGAATCCTTAAAAATCCATTCGGTCAGGTGATAATTTATTTCGTGTTTGCTTTAGACGTCCATCTTTTCAGACCAGTTTTACATTAATAAATGGAGTTCATTTTTTTTCTTATTATTTATTTAAGGAAAGCGAATGAGAGAGGGAATTAAAAAAAATTTAATTTGTCAAGTTCAGGAATAAAAAAAATATATTTACTGTGTCACCCTGTCGACTTGCTGAATTGCTTTCTTTCCTTCCCTCACTACCTTTCCCTTCCCGCTCCCCATGTCTATTTCACTTTCTCTTCACCCTAAAAAATCTTATATTGAAATCTCTGTATTTGTTGCTCTCCCATTTTAATATTAAGACTTTTTTTCCCTTTTTCTCTTCACAATGAACAGTTTTATTAAAGGTTATGAGAAGTGGCTGGTCGGACAGTATATATATAAAGAAGCCCCCAGAAGCAGTTGGTGCTCGTATACATACATCTCTCTCTCTCTCTCTCTCTATATATATATATATATATATATATATATATATATATATATATATATATATATATTACTTCAAACGTTAGTATTTAAGTAGATGTTCTGCTTATTTTTCATCGTAGATCAACTTTGTTATTTGTGTTTAAGGTAAATTATGTTAGACAGAAACTGTATTGCTATATGACATTGCCCTTCACCATCTGTCTATATTTCTGAGATTAGGTATTTTAACTATTTACACTATTTACATTGTTTGGACGGTTGCATTCATCTTTGTTGTCATATTCACGACGTTTCAGCTGTTGTACGCTTCGGCCTTCTTCAAGATCGTTCTATATTTCTAAGTTGAGGTATTTATCTACACTAATTTCATGTTTCGGACTGCTGTCCGCATATTCGTTGTCATATTAACGCCGTTTCGGCCCTTGTACGCTACGACCTTCTTCAGGATCTGTCTATATTTCTGAGACGAGGTATTGCAAAAATCTACACTGTATGTATGTATATTGTTCGGACTGTTGTCCTCATATTTACTGCCACATTCACGATGTTTCGGCCGTTGTACACTCGGACTTCTTCAGAATGAGTCTATATTTCTGAGATGTTACATTTTGTCTATCTAGACTATTGACACTGTTTGGACTGTTGTCCTTATCTTTGTTGTCATATGCATGACGTTTCGGCCGTTGTACGCCTCGGACTTCTTCAGAATGAGTCTATATTTCTGAGATAAGACATTTTGTGTATCTAGACTATTTATACTCTGTTGTCCTTATCTTTGTTGTCATATTAATGACGTTTCAGCCGTTGTACGCTCCGGAATTCTTCAGGATCTGTCTATATACTTGAGATGATGCACTGTATCTACACTATTTACATTGTTTGGACTGTTGTCCTCATCTTTATTGACACATTCACGACGTTTCGGCCGTTGTACGCTCCGGTCTTCTAAACCGAAACTGAGATATCCAGAAATGGCATTGTACGTGGAACTAGAACAATCTAGCCCCGTGGATTAGATAAAGGATAGAGTTCGAAATTCCAATGCGTATCACCTGAAGAAGGCCGGAGCTTACAACGACCGAAACGTCGTCAATATTACAATAAAGATGAGGACAACAGGCTGAACAATGTAAATAATGTAGTTGTATAGTAGTGAATTCTGCAAAACCTCAGCACAGATGAAGTGTGGTTCTGCAGAAGGATACTGAGGACGGCGCAATGAGGAGGTCTTAAATTAATGGTAACACAAAGAACACTTAAACTAAGAATCAGAAAGATAGAGTTGAATTTTTTTGACACGTAATGAGGAAAGAGGGCTTGGAAAACATGAAGGGCAAGACGGATAGGGCAAGACAGATAAGCGAAGCCAGTAGGTCACCTACCGGAGGAGATTCTGTTTGGCGGGAGATTTGGCAAAGGAAGAAACGCTGCTAAGGCCCATGTTGGTTAGGTGGTTTTGAAGAGCAATGATCGCTCACCTTCTGAAGGGTCACGGCATATAAAAAAAGTGTGTGAATTCGTGCTTGGTTCGATGACTGTGTGGTAGAATGGATCGTTATTTTTTTATTTTTTTATTCAGGCCAGAACAATTTTACCACAATTTACAGAGATGGAGGATGGACTGACATAGTTTTATTGATTTTGCAAATAGTTTTTAGCATTGTAAATACACATTTGGATTATGTTCTTATTCCCCACTCCCTACAGACACTGGAAACAAGTTGATTCTGTTTGTTTATTTTGTTTTACGGCATATCAACGTCAATGGGTCATTTAATGCCGACAAGATTTTTAGTGCTCGTAATATTTATTTTTATTTGCAGAAATGTATTACTAGTAATTCACTTTTCTTCAAAAATGCAACGCTGGTATTATTACTTTTCAAAAATGACAAGATATTTATTGTTGGTAATATTTTTTATCTATCTATCTATCTATCTATCTATCTATCTATCTATCTATCTCAGTATACATTGGTTTGTTTTGGTTTGTTTTACGGTACATCAGACTCAATGGGTTATTTAATGGCGACAAGGTTTTTATTGTTGGTAATATTGTATCGCTGGTAATAATGTATTGCTTGTAGTAATTTTTTCTTCAAAAAGTTTATTGCTGGTATTAAAACCTATTTTGACACTTTCGTAGTGTATTGACCGAAACTACCTATAGTTGGATCCTCAACAGGTGTCAACATCCCGAATTAGGGTGGACCCGGGGAACACAGCAATTAAGAGGAGGTTCCACGCTCTTCAAAACCTCCTGATCAGAGGTCTTGCTGTTGGACGTAATTTATCGTCTTACCCAGGACGTGGATGTAATTTATCGTCTTGCCCAGGACGTGGATGTAATTTATCGTCTTGCCCAGGACGCGGATGTAGTTTATCGTTTGCCCAGGACGCGGATGTAATTTATCGTCTTACCCAGGACGCGGATGTAGTTTATCGTTTGCCCAGGACGCGGATGTAGTTTATCGTCTTGCCCAGGACGTGGATGTAGTTTATCGTCTTGCCCAGAACGCGGATGTAGTTTATCGTCTTGCCCAGGACGCGGATGTAGTTTATCGTCATACCCAGGACGGGGATGTAGTTTATTGTCTTGCCTAGGACGCGGATATAGTTTATCGTCTTACCCAGGACGCGGATGTAGTTTATCGTCTTACCCAGGACTCATATGCAGTTTAAAATATAAGAGACTAAAATATATAATTATACCGGATGGAACAACAAAATTGTCCAAATCGTGTAACATAATTATCTATGCCTCAAAAGTTTAATATCTGGAAAAAAAAAAAAACATTAAACTAACTGAGTTTATTTTCCCCAGGTAATCAGATAAGACGTTTAGCCATCCTGACACCATTTTCGAAAGAATCACATAAAAAAAAAACTTTCAGTTATTCAGCTAAAAAATAAAGTTTAAAACTGTTTTATGTCAGCCCCACTATGTCTGCCCAATTGAGTAATTGTGAGAGGAAAATGATCATTCAGTTCTTCAGTAATGGTACCAACATTCAAAATCTGTCTTCCATTCAAGAGCACCAAGAAAACGGTGAATAAGTTTTAAAAAGAGGGAACAGTAGAGAAGAAAACTGGATCAGGAGGTCACAACAGGAAGAAGTGTCATTATTTTCAACTTAGAGCTAAAAAGATAAATTAGAAAAGATCCAACTCAACCCATAATACGTTTGGCACGTGGGAGAGTAGTTTCAGCTATGACAGTCCAAAGATCAATTAAAAAAAGACTCGAAAAAGAAATCGTACGTGAAACCTGCGAGGCACCTTGTTACTCCAGGACAGAAAGTTAGAGAGGGCGAAGATCATCTGGAATAAGCTGAAAAATGATCCTGGAATAGTAAATATATATTTGAACTTCATTTCAATACTTAGCTAATTAACGATGAACATGTCAATTTCGTTTATGATCGATTTCATCAGGATTCTTCTGTTGAGCTTAGACAGTAATTATACATTCATATTGTTCAAATTAGAGTCTATAAAAACATCAGATAATGTTTAATTACTTCTAAGATTCAAATCTTAATCTAACAATTGGACAGTTTTGCTCTTACACCCTATATATATATATATATATATATATATATATTAAATGAACAAAGTCCGACAATTATTTTAAGACATTTTTATGTTTATACAATCTTTTTATAGATACAAATATTTATGTAAATACTCTGTTTTACAATAAACAGTATTAAACAACATTTACCAGCCTGAATGTCCGAGAAATTTTCATAGAATTTTTTTTTCCTGTCGGAGAACGAATATTTTCTATGACAATTTCTCGGACATTCAAGATGGTAAATGTTGTTTAATACTGTTTATTATAAACATAGCATTTACTAAAATATTTGTATCTCTAAAAGAATGTATAAACATATAAAATGTTTTTATATATATATATATATATATATATATATATATATATATATAGAGAGAGAGAGAGAGAGAGAGAGAGAGAGAGAGAGAGAGAGATGAGATAGCGACACATATATACATATGAGAAAACTGAGATAAATAGATAAATATGAACAGACTGAGATAGATAGATAGATAGATAGATAGATAGATAGATAGATAGATGTGAACATAGATAGATAGATAGATAGATAGATAGATAGTTAGGGGTATGACAGCAGAAACGTTTTTCTCCCCAAATTTATAAAGAAATACAGTGTAACCCGGATGTAAGAGACCCGGATATAAGAGAAACCCGGATATAAGAGAGATTTTCTCTGGTCCCAAATTAGAGCCTGTGTTAATGTATATAAAATAGACCAAACCCGGATATAAGAGAAACCCGGATATAAGAGACTTCTTCTCCGGTCCCGACAACTCCCTTATATCCGGGTTATACAGTAATACAGATGCATGCTGAAATGTCTTCCTATCCAATAAGATAGATGACATCTCGGTCTCATCCGCCATATTTTTCTTCTTTTTTTCTTTTTGTCCTTTGGTATCAGAACACTACAATCTCTTGCCTTTATCCTTTTTGTGAATTAACGCTATTCTTACGTTGAGAACTTTTTGCCTTTTTACTGATGCTTTGCCGATTTTTGTCTGAAATAATTGCCGCCTAAATTACGGACAAAAGAAAATAACAGTAACATGTTTCATTTTAACAGATACATTTACCAAAATTGCACAAAAATCTCTAGAAATAGAAAGAACAATTTTATTCAATAAAATCGCCATTGACTTTCACCACGGCCACCTGACGACTTCGGAGTCTCCTGCAAACCTTCTGAACGGTCTCCTTGTTTAAGTTGGTGAATCCTTGCCTTCAGTTCGTCTTTGGTGTTACAAGGAGTTTTGTTTGTCTCCCCCACCCCATAATATCAAAGGGAGTTGAAGTCTGGGGAGTTACATGGCCAGATGTAAGGGATGATATGGTCGCAAAAATTGTCTGACAGCCATGACTGAGTCCTTCTACTGATATGGCATGATGCAGAGTCCTGTTGCCAGGTACAGGGTCTTCCAGCAGCCACCCTTTTCACCCAGGACAGCACTACCTCCTCAAGCCACTTGATGTAGGCCTCCGTCTTGCGTCTGGGACCCTGTGGGGAGATGAATGGTGGCATAACGTATCCATCACTAGTGATCACTCCAAACACCTTCGTAATCACGATTAGACTCATCCAACTCTTTCCAAATCCTCTCCACTGTCCGCAGATTGAAACCCTAACACTCTGAAATGTCAATATTGGTGCTTCTGGCGCGAATGCCAAGCAGGACAGCATGTTGTTTCCAAATTTCTGGCGGAGTGAATTGCGAAATGGTGCTATTTTTCTCACAGACTGTTCCCAACTGACTCTACTATACTGCGCACTCAACAAAATCAAAAACAAACAATGCGCATGCGCGAAATTAAAAATATAAAACAGTGACAATTTACCCATCGCACCTGTAGGTTTTTGCTTTGTATTATTTTACTGATTTTTCTTTGTTTTGTTCATTGGAATTTTTCTCAGTTCCGTTTGTTGATCTTTTCTACCAACTACACTTAACCGTGGCCAGTTCCGCCATATTAATAAATAGATAGATATGAATTGATAGTTTGATATATATATATATATATATATATATATATATATATATATATATATATATATATATATATATGAATTGACTGGAGATATGTTGAAAAAAATATATCGATAAACATACATATAGGGGCAAAGTGAGAATGATGAAGATGGTTGTGTCTTAATCAATAATGCAGATGTTGAGAGGTCATGTCATGCGCATGCGTATACTTCAGGCCGACATCTTCACAAAGTATTCTCATTAATCAACAGAAAGAAGTAGCCATGGATATTCTCAACGGTTTCTGTTGTAACGATCTCAGCTTTTTTTCTTAATTTGAACTTTTCAATTTTCTTGGCAGTTCTAATTCATTATTTCTTTCTGCCATTATTGTTATTATCATTATTGTGCTTTGCGTTTGCTTTGTGCAATACGGGTTACCTCCAAGTCATAATCAGAGATTTCAAGAGACGAATTTTTTTTTGTATCTTAAGATGCAGAGAGAAAGAAATATATAATGTTAGTCATTTCACGGAGACAGATATACGCAAGACATGAGATTTATCCATGATTATAGCTCATTGCAATTCATGTATTTTAGAGCTTCATAATGATTCCTCCTTTCGATGTCGTCCTCAATGCCTGAATAGCAGCAGTTAATATCGTTGTCCTGAAATGCCATATTCTACTGATTTCTATCTCGACCTCTTTGTATTTACTTACAATCTCATCCAAAGATGTGTTTTTGCCGACTGGGTCAGCAACTCTATCATCAGACATGTATTTTCAACATGATTTTTCACAATTACGTCTGGCCGATTTACCTGGATTTCCCTATGATTTTGAATAGTGTATTTCAGAAGATGTTATTCCAAAGCCCCAATAACAACAGGTAATATCGTTGTCCTGAAATGCCATATTTTACTAATTTCTATCTCGACCTCTTTGTATTTACTTACAATCTCATCCAAAGATGTGTTTTTGCCGACTGGGTCAGCAACTCTATCATCAGACATGTATTTTCAACATGATTTTTCACAATTACGTCTGGCCGATTTACCTGGATTTCCCTATGATTTTGAATAGTGTATTTCCAGAAGATGTTATTCCCAAAGCCCCAATAACAACAGGTAATATCGTTGTCCTGAAATGCCATATTTTACTAATTTCTATCTCGACCTCTTTGTATTTACTTACAATCTCATCCAAAGATGTGTTTTTGCCGACTGGGTCAGCAACTCTATCATCAGACATGTATTTTCAACATGATTTTTCACAATTACGTCTGGCCGATTTACCTGGATTTCCCTATGATTTTGAATAGTGTATTTCCAGAAGCTGTTATTCCCAAAGCCCCAATAACAACAGGTAATGTCGCTGTCCTGAAATGCCATATTTTACTAATTTCTATCTCGACCTCTTTGTATTTACTTACAATCTCATCCAAAGATGTGTTTTTGCCGACTGGGTCAGCAACATCTATCAGCAGACATGTATTTTCAACATGATTTCTCACAATTACGTCTGGCCGATTTACCTGGATTTCCCTATGATTTTGAATAGTGAATTTCCAGAAGCTGTTATTCCCAAAGCCCCAATAACAACAGGTAATGTCGCTGTCCTGAAATGCCATATTTTACTAATTTCTATCTCGACCTCTTTGTATTTACTTCACAATCTCATCCAAAGATGTGTTTTTTTGCCGACTGGGTCAGCAACATCTATCAGCAGACATGTATTTTCAACATGATTTTTCACAATTACGTCTGGCCGATTTACCTGGATTTCCCTATGATTTTGAATAGTGAATTTCCAGAAGCTGTTATTCCCAAAGCCCCAATAACAACAGGTAATGTCGCTGTCCTGAAATGCCATATTTTACTAATTTCTATCTCGACCTCTTTGTATTTACTTACAATCTCATCCAAGGATGTGTTTTTGCCGACTGGGTCAGCAACATCTATCAGCAGACATGTATTTTCAACATGATTTTTCACAATTACGTCTGGCCGATTTACCTGGATTTCCCTATGATTTTGAATAGTGTATTTCCAGAAGCTGTTATTCCCAAAGCCCCAATAACAACAGGTAATGTCGCTGTCCTGAAATGCCATATTTTACTAATTTCTATCTCGACCTCTTTGTATTTACTTACAATCTCATCCAAAGATGTGTTTTTGCCGACTGGGTCAGCAACTCTATCATCAGACATGTATTTTCAACATGATTTTTCACAATTACGTCTGGCCGATTTACCTGGATTTCCTATGATTTTGAATAGTGAATTTCCAGAAGCTGTTATTCCCAAAGCCCCAATAACAACAGGTAATGTCGCTGTCCTGAAATGCCATATTCTACTGATTTCTATCTCGACCTCTTTGTATTTACCACAATCTCATCCAAAGATGTGTTTTTTGCCGACTGGGTCAGCAACTCTATCATCAGACATGTATTTTCAACATGATTTTTCACAATTACGTCTGGACGATTTACCTGGATTTCCCTATGATTTTGAATAGTGTATTTCCAGAAGCTGTTATTCCCTAAAGCCCCAATAACAACAGGTAATATCGTTGTCCTGAAATGCCATATTTTACTAATTTCTATCTCGACCTCTTTGTATTTACTTACAATCTCATCCAAAGATGTGTTTTTGCCGACTGGGTCAGCAACTCTATCATCAGACATGTATTTTCAACATGATTTTTCACAATTACGTCTGGCCGATTTACCTGGATTTCCCTATGATTTTGAATAGTGTATTTCCAGAAGATGTTATTCCCAAAGCCCCAATAACAACAGGTAATATCGTTGTCCTGAAATGCCATATTTTACTAATTTCTATCTCGACCTCTTTGTATTTACTTACAATCTCATCCAAAGATGTGTTTTTGCCGACTGGGTCAGCAACTCTATCATCAGACATGTATTTTCAACATGATTTTTTCACAATTACGTCTGGCCGATTTACCTGGATTTCCCTATGATTTTTGAATAGTGTATTTCCAGAAGCTGTTATTCCTAAAGCCCCAATAACAACAGGTAATATCGTTGTCCTGAAATGCCATATTTTACTAATTTCTATCTCGACCTCTTTGTATTTACTTACAATCTCATCCAAAGATGTGTTTTTGCCGACTGGGTCAGCAACTCTATCATCAGACATGTATTTTCAACATGATTTTTTCACAATTACGTCTGGCCGATTTACCTGGATTTCCCTATGATTTTGAATAGTGAATTTCAGAAGCTGTTATTCCCAAAGCCCCAATAACAACAGGTAATATCGTTGTCCTGAAATGCCATATTCTACTGATTTCTATCTCGACCTCTTTGTATTTACTTACAATCTCATCCAAAGATGTGTTTTTGCCGACTGGGTCAGCAACTCTATCATCAGACATGTATTTTCAACATGATTTTTCACAATTACGTCTGGCCGATTTACCTGGATTTCCCTATGATTTTGAATAGTGAATTTCCAGAAGCTGTTATTCCCAAAGCCCCAATAACAACAGGTAATATCGTTGTCCTGAAATGCCATATTCTACTGATTTCTATCTCGACCTCTTTGTATTTACTTACAATCTCATCCAAAGATGTGTTTTTGCCGACTGGGT